CAGTGGCCATCTAAACTCTAGTATATGCCAGACATGAGATAAGGCACTAGGAATACAATGCTAAATAATGAAGGTTCATATAGGAAATGTTATGCCAAGAAAACAAATAATGCTCTAGCAGGTATACCTTGCCATATCTGGAAGAAGAAAAAGGTGCCAAGCGGGGTTTCCCAATCAAAAAGGCAGGGTAGCACAATCCCAGGCATGCAAAAGCTCCCATAGGTCAGAAACAATCTCAGAAAGTGCCATGTTAAAGAATCAAGGAGAGAGGCATAATACATAATAAGCAAAGGGTCCCTGGTACAGGGATAGAGCTAGGCTTGTCCTCGCCTTGACAGTATAATGAGACACCACAGTGGAGGTGAGAAGGTTAGCCGTTCTCCTAGGAAGAGCTGTGAACATGAAATGGTAAATAAGGCTGGCACCTTTTCTCCATAGCCTTGAACATCAGATATTTTCCAGCAAATAGATGCTGAATTTTGACCTCCAGGTCTGAGTTCTCCCTGCAGCAGTTCCCACCTCCAGATGCCTGTTTTCTCCACTTAGAGGTGTTCTGGGCATATCAAGATATACATGTTCAAAAGTGACCTTCTGCTTGTCCTCCTTTTCCAAGCCTGTTATGAATCCACTCATTCATCTCAGTTCCTGATGCTTCAGTCTCACAGTTGCAAAAGCAAAATGCTAGAACTCATTGCTTGCTCTTTATTCCAGGCCTTGAATATGCAAAGCTCCCCAACAAGCATGCTGATTTCGCACTCAAGCATGCCTATGCTGCACTCCATCTATGAATCCAAGTGACCATCTTTGTCTTACGTTTCTATCTGATCTCCTAACTTCTCTGTTCTCCATTCTCCACTTAACAGGCAGAGCCATCCTTTTACATCCAGAGTCATACCTTGTCACTGCTTTATTGAAACTCCTCATTTCTGAGTTCTGGCCAACTCCTCTAGTAGTTCTGGCCTACTTCCCCAGCAGCTCTCCAGTTTGGCTTCTTGTATTGACTTACTTAACAATTCTAGTCTCCTAGATTTACCTGCCAATTCTAGTTCAATCTTCTCCCAATTCCCAGAGCATGAGAGTTCTTTCCTGGCCAATGCTATTGAACCCACAGCTTCCTCGTCCTCCATTGGTCTCTAGCTCCCCCATGGCTGTCTCATGCTCATCTTTCAATCTTTCCTCCTAATGTCCTGTTGAAGACATCTGAAAATGCCATCTGATAATGCCACCCAAACTATTCTGAATCATCAACCTACTTATTTCCTTCCTATGAATTAACAGAATATGTAATTACTTGTCATTCATTCATTTCTTTACTGTGTCTCTCCTCTACTAAGTCCCACTTTTACGACAATTGCTATGAATACCATATCCCAAGTTAATAGTACAGTGTATGACAATAGTACAGTATATGACAATTGCTATGAATACCATATCCCAAGTTAATAGTACAGTGTATGACAATAGTACAGTATATGACAATTGCTATGAATACCATATCCTAAGTTAATAGTACAGTGTATGACAATAGTACAGTATATGACAATTGCTATGAATACCATATCCCAAGTTAATAGTACAGTGTATGACAATAGTACAGTATATGACAATTGCTATGAATACCATATCCTAAGTTAATAGTACAGTGTATGACAATAGTACAGTATATGACAATTGCTATGAATACCATATCCTAAGTTAATAGTACAGTGTATGACAATAGTACAGTATATGACAATTGCTATGAATACCATATCCTAAGTTAATAGTACAGTGTATGGCTCCAGGTATGTCCTTAATAAATATTTATTGGACAAAGAGTGCCAAAGTCAATAATGTTTTAACAATAGACACAAAGGTTAATAGAAACATATGGATATGCTAATTATTGATTAAATAAGAATTGAACCGATTGTTTGATCTGATTCCTTGTAAGTCACCAGTGAAGGCAACAAGTTTGCCTGGATCATTACTGATATATTTGGATTTACTACTGGCCTAGAATTGCTCTGCGTTTCCCTGTTGCTTGGTAAATCCCTCCCCTGTGGAAGACAGAGGTAAGAATTCTGTGAGTGAGGAATAATATAGATGTAAAATGGAAAACAGTAAATAGCCTTAGATGCTCTAATGAAAAAGAACCTTGAATGGCATGTTGCTGCCATCTTAGTGGTTTAAAAATAGTTTTTTAAAAACATTTTTCTTTGGTTTTACGAGACAAGGTTTCTCTGTATTGTTTTGGAAGCTGTCGGTCCAGCCCGGCCTCGAACTCACAGAGATACGCCTGCCTCTGCCTCCCAAGTGCTGGGATTAAAGGCGTGCGCCATCACTGCCCAGCTTAAAACATTTTAACTGGATGTGTTTAATTGTATTACAGAGAAGGAAACAGCACAGAGAATTGATGTGGAATGAATTGTCAAGTAGGGAGATTTATGAATGGAGAACTTCACCTGGGGGAGAGGTCTCTCTGAGTCTCTGGACCATATACTTATGGCCACTGAAGGAAGGGCAGCCCTTCCTCACCTTGGTGGGATAATAAGAAAGGTTAGAGCTTCCACGTGCCCTGTGAAAAGTGGGAAAGCCAGGTGGGGACAGAGAAGAACATAGAGAACATGTCTTGGAACATTGTGAAGACATTGGGAGCTAATGGCCAAGAATTCATTAAGAAAATAATTGTCGCTGAAGGTCCCACCAAAGCCGTGAATTTGGTACTTGTTCATACAGTTGCATCATTAATCAAATGGTTATTAAGTACTGCTACGTTCTAGAAGACACTCAGAAGTACCAAGATTAGTAAATCACATGTTTGGCCATCAAGTGGGAGAGAGGATATAGCAGTTAGCAAAGCCTCTGTTGAGGTCCAAACTAAACTTTACTGAGCTAGAACTCAGAGGACTGAGGTGGAGAGGAGTTAGTTCTTTTCAGGGTCTATTGCTATAAAATTTAAGATTTTAGGAGTAGAACACCAATGACAATCGAATCCTGAAGGAGGACACAGTTCTTTAGAAGTCTTCAAACTATAAGAATAACAGGTTGAAACGAAATTCAGACTTGTAGACAGACAGAGGTTATGACTCTGAGGGTGTCTGAATTCTTGACAAGGACCTGGGGGTGACCTGGACAAGAACAGGCAAAGGGTGCGATATTCAGACAATACAAAAGTGGAAAGTAGGAGGAATTACGTGTGAGGAAGATATGATAGTGTTCGTGATGTCATAGTTAATAACAAATGAAAATCACCCCCCCTCAGAATGCTGTGTCAGAGGGTGGGCATTTCTTCCAAGGGTTCTAGTTAGAGCAGGAAGGGGTGCTCTGAAGTGAGAAGCTGGGAGGAAACGTTCAGATCCTGGCGCTGAGTTTCCTGAACCCAGCTCAGGAGGAAGCACTGTAAATGACTGCATTGAGATGGAAAGGGGGGAAGAAAGGAGAGAGGTGGGAAGAGAGAGGATAAATGGAAGAGAAGGAAGAATAGGGGCACGCAGGGAAGAAAGAAGGGACGAAGGGAGGGAAGGGGGACATCGTATTCTCTGATCAAAGCCAAGGACCCAGTAGAGTGGGAGATGAGCGGCTTCAGCAGCCTGTCGGCAGGATGAGCTATGCATTTCCTTCCAGGCCAATGCCAAGAGTAAGCACGTGTCATGGGGTTGGTATGACCCAGGAGAAAGTTCTCTCATCTCAAATATGTGCTTTTTCAAACTTGATTTTGAAGTAGCAGCACCACCGTGATAATGAAAGACATTTATTGCAAAACAAAACAAAACTCCAAGATAATGCAGAGAAGTATAAAGATCACTTGTACTCACAGTGGAGCTGATGTAACTATTATCCTGCCTGGCACTTGGGGATTTCTGGCATTTATCATGAGGACTATACTGTTTTCCCTCCCACTCCCACTTGCTCCCTCTCCCTCCATCTTTGCTGTTGGCATCTTTCTGATTTCTCTCTTTCAACTCCAACTTGAGTCATGTTGAGTGGGTACCACCTTACACCATCCATCTTCCCCTGCGGCTGCAGCATTGCTCTGACTGTGGCCAGGAGCTTCAGCTGCTTCTGCAGAGGCTCCCAGGGCAGGGACCATGTTGCCAGGGCCAGCAGGGAAATGACTTCACTTTCCAAATCCAAACTGGGAAGCTAACCAGCCACCCTGCAGACTGCTGCCTGTCCCTACTGAGGTGTCACCCTGTCTTTCACTGGCAGGGCCCAGTGTTTTGAGCCAGCAGTATGACAGCCTAGAGTAGTAGAAGGGGCTTCTGTTGACTTGAGTGGCCTGAGCATGCAGTGGAACCCTGAAATGGTTTGTCTCCCTGCAAATGGCCTCACAGCTTGCTTCCATTGAGAGATGTAAAGCCGGCTCAGGAAGAACACTGCTCTCCACCTTTGTGAACCCAAGCAACACGACCTTTATTTTACCGCATAGGTCGAGACGACTCTTTACCACAACCGTGTTAATTCGCTCTTTCCCTCCTTCCTCCCACCCATCTCCTGCCACTTCCCCGGGAGCATAAAGCTCTCAGCATCCTGCTGTCCATTAGCATAAATAAACCCATGCTTTTACGGTAAAAATAGTTTTTAATGCTATATTGGTTAAAGACTGCATTACCATAAGAGGATAAAAATACTCCTGGATAACAGGTAGCTTATATTCTTCAGAGGCGGTAACATGCTTTGTGCTTTTTCTTCTTCTTTTTTTTTTGTGGTTCCTTGAGAGTCAATGATTTCAGCCATAGATTAAAACCTAGGTCTCAGCACACATTACATTTCCACTTCAGAAACCGTTAAGCTAGGAGCTTTCCCCAGACTTGTGCCTTTACATTTTCATTTATTTTTTTCTGTTGCCAATATTTTATAGGCAGTCCTAAAGCACAACCAAAAATAAAAAATAAAAAACGAAATGAAATGCCATTTCAATCTTTGCTGTAGGAGCAACTGGATTATGTTATTGTCCCCGCCCCCACCTCCATTCTAGCTAATGTTAATTTAAATTTGATGTAACATTTATACAACAGATAAGGAAATACTGGGCCGAGAAACAACAGAAGTGGCAAGAAATGGAAATGAGAGATCTCCAGCGTCTAGAAGAACTGAAGACATTAATGGCCGATCAGTCAGTGAAAGACAGAGAAAGGTAAGGGAGGGGTTTGAGACCGAGACAGTGAGCAGAGAAAGCACCATCTGCACTACGTTCAGAATATCAGAGCCAGGGTCTTTCACACTGAATGTTGTCATTCAATATTTATATCTACAAATGGATACAATGATTTCTATAATGTAGTTTAAACTCTCACTTTCATACTTAAGCCTCCAGTTTTCCATTTTGTTCCTTTGATGGCTTCCTAGTTAAAGATCTCACAGAGAATTTTATGACAACTGATTGCCCACTGTGTGCATGAAATGATACTGGCGGCTGCTGTGACTTAATATTTTGACCCAGGAGGAGGAAGCCATTATTTTAATAAGAAAGGCGTCCACTTACTGTGACTGAGGCCGCGAAAGACAATCCACAATCATAGAGAGCTGCCTGGATGTTCCAAGGAACTCACCAATGCCATGTATGAAAGCGCACCCTAGAATTTCCTACAATTAACTACAGAGCTGGGAAGGACATTTGAGATAATGAGCTCAGTCTTCTTATTTTATGAGTTACACCAAGAGATTAAAACAATGTTTTTTTTAAAGATTACTGTATCAGGGCCAAAAAGAAAACAGTAAAAATCCTAACAATCTGGAAATGAAATATCTGAACTATAAAGAGATATATTCTCTATCAGGAAACCACTGTTTACATAAAGGGATCAAGGGGACACTAAGGAAGTCCCTAGGACTGAGGACCAGTTCCTATGGAAGAAGAAGTTAGAATTGGAGCCCATCCCTAGAGTCATCAGTGCTCCTTGTCCTAGCCATCTCCTGGGCCATCATCATATTGTTTTGGGTTATCTCAGCCCTTAGGAGTTGAGTATGGAACCAAGGATATAGCAAAGCCTGAGCTCAAGGTCAGGAGGTCAGACAACCAAAAGGCAAACACAAAGTGAAGGCCATGGTGCCTACCCTGGGACAAGCCGTGCTGTGGCTCAGCAAGAAGTTAATGGGAGCCTCCAAATAGCAGTTCACCAAAGGGCAATGCAAAGGTAGTGGTCAGAAGGCGGGTTGGGCCATTTAAGCTCCCCAGGAAAAGAACTACAGGAACTTAAGGGGTATGAAAAGCAGAACAGATGTGGAGTTCCAACATTTGGGACATGCTTCTAATAGAACGTCTTTCATAGCAGGGAGCTTCTCTGATTACAGAACCATTTTCAGTCTTCCTGTCCTAGTAATTATCAAGATTAGCTGATTCAGAGCTTCAGCTGAAAAGAAGAAAAAGAAAATCAGATTAGTGTGTATTACATAACAGGAAAAAATAGCCATATTACAGCATAGTGAAAGGACCAAGGACCAGGAACTGTAACTCGGGATTTTATTCTTAACTCAGCTTTGAAGAGTGTACGACCTTGGGGACGCCAGTTGTTTACCTTCCACAAGACTCCGTCTTGTCTACTGGAAAACGTGTGTGTGTTTAACATATATATATATATGTATATATATATATATATATATGTGTGTGTGTGTGTATGTGTATGTGTGTATATGTATGTATGTATATGTATATATATAAACTCCTTTGATGGAATAATGCAGATTTAAATAATTATGAAGCCAATCCTTGCATACCAATGGTAAACCACCAAAGAAGGGCTTCCAAATATGATATATCCAAGCTATAATTCTCTGAAAAAAAACTCCATGTTGCTTTGTGGGCTGGGGATGTAGCAGCACTGGACGAAGGCTTGAATGGCATCTACAGAGCACTGGGTTCAGTCCCAAGCACCACGAGAAACAGGTGTGGTGGCACATGCATGTAATCTTAGCACTTGAGACGGAGACAAGAGGATCAGAAGTTCAAGGTTATCCTTAGCTACATGGCGAATCCAAGGCCAGCCTAGGATATGATTCCCTGCCTCAAAAAAAAAAAGTGATGTAGATAGAAACATAATTCTCATCCTGTGTTCTGAGATGTAGTTTAACCCATAAAAAACTTTCACTTCTGACAATGACCGGAAGCTATATTCATCTGTAACCATTCTGGCCTAAGAAATTTGGTAGATAGGTTAAATAGTTTTCTCTAATTATATAATACAGTAAACATTTTGTTTGATATTTTAACCTAAGTAACTCTGTTCACACTACATTAAGAAGGTCTAAATATTAGCTTCCAGATTTGCCAGCATGGTTTGCAGATGTGTCCTCAAGTGTTTGAAAACTGCTCATTTACTTATTTCTGCTTTGGAGAGGCAAGATGAAGGTTCATGAAAATAGCACATTCATCAACAAATTGATGGGTGGAAAATATGAAACATTCATTTTGCGGTTAAAAATAGTGGCATGTTGAAGGTTTCATGTGGCTTGACATAGCAAAAAGGCAATCACATCCACATCTCATTTTATTCAAATATTTTGTCAGTTTCCTCCAGCCTCTGTATTCCAAATTCCCCATTTTCAACACATTCTTGAGCTTGAGAGACAAGACTCCAGAACTAAGGTGTTGCCATGAGAGCCTTGAATTTGTCTTTCACAGCTAGTGTCTCTGTGCTTTAGTTTGTCATTTGTACAATGAATAAATAAATAGTACTTACTTCAAGTGATCAAAATCGATGTTGACTGTAACTCACTGCCTAAGACATAGAACACAAGAGCATTCATTATAAGTGTTTTGTACAAACTAACTTTTTAAAATGACAAGATGCTTCTAATGCACTTTTGTCAAAATATTTAAATTTTAAAATATTTTTAAACATGTAGTAATAAAGTAACTCTTACAGAAATGAAACTATTTATATTAATGCAAGCTGCTTCTTGAAGCCTGTCCTAATGCAATGTCTTATCTTGAATCCATTGCTATTATCAACTATTTAACAAAGTACATACATATTATCTATATGTACCCAGGCAAAAATACAAGTGTAAGAAAACCAAACAAACCTTCAGTGTACTTCCAAATGTAGTACCATTGTGTTAGTCAGCTAGAGCTGTAATGAAAAAATGTATTCACTGGGAGGTTTGAAAATCTGAGGTTTCTTTTCTTAGCTCCAGAGGCTAGAAACCCAAAATGGAACAGGATTGTGATCAGGACCCCCTCCCTGGCCTCCAGAAAGCAGTCCTCTCATGAAGACTCCCTTCACTGGCTGGGAAAGACAAGCTGTCTGATGTCTTTTCCTAGAAGGGTACCCATGGCCTTTTTAAAGGCTCCACCCTTTCTCAAAACTAGTGGAAATGAAGGTGTGCACATATGAATTTGGGACAGACATGTTCAATGTAACCATCTGGAAAAAACAAAATGTGTTTGTCTAACTGAAGATTGTCTGTTACCTTAGTGATGTGTGGTTGCTGTTAGCAAATAATACCATTTGAGCAATTAGAAAAGGGGGCCAGTCTGACAGTGAAGTGTCATCAGCCCCTGCTGCAGAAGGACTAAGTAGAAAAAGGTTGTCCTCCTGAACCACGGCACACAGAGTCAAAACACGGAGCAACCTTCACATGATCCACGGAGATAATTCTCAAATCAAACCCACCTAATCTTTTTTAAAAAAGGGAATATGCTATTCATAACTCTTCTAAAAATTAGCCATGTAGCCATCTGGGATTTATATTCATGAATGATGTGAGCTTGCTGTCTAGCTTCCTTTTTTCCTCCTAATTTGATGGCTAACTATTTCAGAACCAATTGGTAATGATTCATCCTTACCCTTTGATTGGATATAACACTTTTATTATATATCGCATTTCTAATTATACTTTTATATCCATATGGACTCTCAATTAGATTAAATAAAAGCTGATCTCTATTTATGCTTCTTCATGGACCCCATGCTGTTCAATCACTCTCTTGCACTGTCTAGTAGGACAAGTATTCTCAAAAATAACTGCTCTTATGCCAATTTCTTTACAGATTCTGTTGACTTTTTGCATTAAAATAGTGTTAAGGAAAGCTAATATATACATAAAATTTAATCTCCAATCTAGAAGCATGCTGACAAAATAGCTTTATGGTTCTTGCTTTTCTTGGGTTCTCATAGATTTTTTTCCAGTGAAAGTTTAGAAATTAACTTCATTGAGGGAGACACTTGTGACCAAAAAGGTAATTTCAAGTTCCTTTTAGGTGAAAAGAAAAAGTCTGCCTTAAGATAGCAGCTGTGGGGGTGACAACTAGGGTGTTTACAAGGTATTGAAATCAATTCACTTTGGGAACTCATGTCACTGAAGATGAAGTCAGAGAAAGAAACCCAGTCTTGAATATCGTTGACATTGTTTTGTTGTAGTTTTAATATCTTTTACTTATACATCTTCATACATCTGTACAATCTGCCTTTGACATACCCAACCCAACCCAACTTTCTCTTCTCACTCCCCACTCCTCAACATGTTCTCTTTATCTGTTTGTGTGTGTGTATGTGTGTATTGTACCCCAATACGTGTGGTTTGTGCGCCTGCTAAGACTACTGACTGACCCTGTTGGCAAGTGGCTAAAAGATTTTTGCTGATTTGGTTTTTGTTTATTGGTTTCTCTCTGCAGCCTTTAATGAGAGCTGTGTATGAGACGACTCTACTCCTGCATCTTCTCAATAATTTATTCCTTGTATTTGCCCTTCTCCTTCCCTACTTGTCAAGACTTGGATTTCCATCCCAGGAAATTTATTTGGTTTTTGCCACCTTTAGCCTGGTGATAACCACCCTGCTGAGGTGAATGCCCACATGGACAGTTCAGTTGTTTATTGGTTTTTGCCTTATTTTGGGTTGAAAGCTTTAGTTATTTTGTTTTTAATTTCTTATTTTACAATCCACTTTTTTTGCCTGTAATCTTTCATGTGTATCTTTGGCCAAAATTCTGATATTTTTCACTCTTATTTCTAGGTATCTTTCATTTTATTTTGATTGTCCTGACAATAAATCAGTGACTATTGGTATACTCTGTACATTCCATGACCTTTCATAAAAAAGTGCAAAATTCTGGAATACTTTATTGGAAGCCAGTAAACCCAGCTTTATTTTTTTTTAAAGATTTACCTGCCAAACAACTTATGTATCAGAAAAGTC